CTTGGTGGCGGTAGCGCTGGTGCTCGTGAATTGGCCGCTGTTCTTGGTGAACCTGGCGCCGGCTAGCCCGTTCGACGGCGCCGACGCGCTCCGATCCTGGGGCGAGCTCTGGATGCCCGGCCGCGCCGCGCGGGACGCCACCTGCGCCGCCGGACTGCTCGTTGCGGCAGCGCTGCTCGCGGTCGGCGGGGCGCTAGCGCTGACCGACCTGAATCTGCCGTGGCTTGGGGCGTCGCTAGCCGCTTTGGCGGTGCTGGTCGGCTTCGGCGCAGTCGCCGACGCCAACGCACCGGCGACGCCGCTTGCCTGGCTGCCTCCGAACGACGACGACTACGTCGGCGCGTCGCTCCGCGACGTCCGAGTCGAGCCCGCTACCGCCTCGCGGTATGATCACGACGCGTACCCTCTCGACGAGGACATCGACGATTACTCGGTCGATCGCTTCGACGAGACCCAGGTCGACGACATCCTGGCGAAGGTCCACGTAGCCGGCGTTCACAGCTTGACCGCCAACGAGCGAGCGATCCTCGAACGCGCCAGCCAGCGTTTCCAGCAGCGCCGCCGCCCGCTGGACTGAGCCGCCTTTCGGCACGGCCGTTCTGGCCGCCCGGGCGAGGTCATAACCTCCCCAACCACTACGGCCGGACCGCGGTTCCTGTGATCTCCGTAGGCGCCCCATCGGGCGTTGGCGGCGCCATCCGGTGCGTCGTAGCGTTTGGGCGACCTCTCTCTGCCACTGCTGAATTACCCGGTGGTCGGGACGCTTCGCTACAGGCGTGCAACATGGTGACGACTGCTGAACCGCTGAGTGCAACGAAGCCGACGCTGCCGCGCGAGCTTTCGAGCGACTCCCTCGTGGACCGCCTCGAAGCGGCCTTTCGGCAGTCGTTCGCAGTGCTTGACGTGACACGTGGCGCCCTGGAGCGTGTGACGCCCGACTGGCCGCGTGTCGATATCTTCCGCTGGGCGTCACTCTGCGAACACGTCGCGCGAAGGGGTCGGCCGGAGGTCATCGAGGACCACTCGCCTCTGCTGCTGCTCGCAACGCCGTTGCCGCCCGAAGAGTTGTCACCGTCGAGGATCGCCGTTGCCGTGCTGCTGACGGAGGCCAACCCCTCACCGGCTGCGCTGGAGTCGGCCGCCCGGGCGTTCGGCGTCGATGGAAAGCAACTGACGCAGTGGGCCGCCGGGCGTCGGGCGTGGCCCGCCCACGCCGCGCTGCCGCTGGCGACAGCGATCGTCGAGTCGCTCGTCGCGCAGCAATCGGTGTCTTCGATGAAGAACCAACTCTCCGAAGTCTCCGGGCAACTGCTCGCGACCTTTGAAGAGCTGAACCTGCTCCACCAGATGACCGAAGGGCTCTCGCTCGGCCGTCACGAGCGTGAGCTGCTCGACCAAGCCGTCGATTGGCTCGCGGAGATCATCGCGAGCGACTGCGTTGTCGCCCGTCTCGACGGGACGCCCGCCCACACGACCATCGCGGGGCGTTACACCCCGATCGCCGCGGACCAGCTCAGCGAATTCTTCGGCCGCCTCGGTCCGCAGGCGCAGCGGCGGTCGCTGGTGTTGAATCACGACCGCACCAGTTCGCCGACCTGGGCTTACCCCGAGGTGCGCGAGGTCGTCACCGCTCCGATCCTCTCGAACGGCGAGCCGATCGGCTGGCTTGGCGCTCTTAACTACCGGCCGAAGCGCGGCGCTTATGGCGGCGGATTCGGCGCCGTCGAGGGAAGCCTCCTGTCGAGCGTCGCGACGCTAATCGGCGTCCACGCCGGCAACCGCGACCTGTTCGAACAGCGTAAACAACTCTTCGATAGCGCGGTCTACGCCCTCACCTCGGCGATCGACGCCAAGGACCCCTATACCTGTGGCCACAGCGACCGCGTCGCCCGCGTCGCGGTGCGGCTCGCCAAACAGATGGGCTGTGGGGCGGACGAGCTGAACGCCCTCTACCTCGGCGGCCTGCTGCACGACATCGGCAAGATTGGCATCGACGACGCCGTTCTCCGCAAGCCGGATAAGCTGACGGACGAGGAGTACGATCAGATCAAGCTGCACCCAACCCTCGGCGAGCAGATCCTGCAAGGAGTGCCGCAACTCGCGCACGTGCTGCCGATCGTCCGCCACCACCACGAAACGTGGGACGGTAACGGCTACCCCGATCGGCTCGTGACCGACGCCTGCCCGAAGCTCGCCCGCATCACGGCGGTCGCCGACGCGATCGACGCGATGGGCAGCGACCGACCGTACCGCAAGGGGATGCCGATCGAAGAGGTCGAGTCGATCCTCCGCCGCGGCGCCGGCAAGCAGTGGGACCCGAACGTGGTCGCCGCTTACTTCGCCGCCCGCGAAGACGTGCAGGCGATCTGCCGCATCGAACGCGAGCCACACGACCTCGACGTCGGCCGCTGGAGCGAAGGGGACGCTTGTCCCTTGGAAGAAACCCACACCTGATCGCCCACCTCTAGCTCGCCTCCACTGTGCGCCTCCGCGTCTCTGCGCGAGACTTCATCGCGTAGCTTCGTTGGTCGGCGCTGTTCATGCGGGAGCGATCGCCGCTCGCAAGCCATCCACTCGTAGCTCGCCGCCGGGGCCGCTGTGCTCGCGGCGGACATACGCCAGGGCAATTGCGCCGCCCTCGGTCGCCACACTCGAAGTGACCCGGCCCACCGGTTTCGCATCAAGCATCAACTCAACGCCCGGCAACGGCGTGCCGTCTTCGATCCGCACACAACGCAACAGCCAGTTCACCCGGCCCAACGCGTCGATACGGGCGACCGGCTCTTGGCCCAAGTAACAACCCTTCGTGAACGAGATCGACCTGTCGTTGCGATCGACCTCTTGTGGCAAGTTGCGGTCATCGACGTCAACGCCGTCCAGCGGCACGCGCAACGCGATCCGCGTTTGCTCGAACGCTTCGGCCGTCATCAACCGTCCCTCGACCGCTTCGGCGTCGAGCGCCGCGACAACGCCGGCGCCGAACGCATCGACTCGCACCGTCAACGCCGACGCGACGCCGCGCCCGATTGTCCAAACGCCCGGCGGGACGAGCTTCAGGTCAACCTTCTCACGAATCAGGTAGCGATCGAGGTGCGCGTGCAAACGATCGCAGTGATCGGACGACAACAGCACGACATAGCGCTCGGCGTCGGTGCGCGAGACCCAGCCGTAGGCCTGGACATGCGCCTTGACGTCGAGGAACATCGCCTCGCAAGACTCCCCATCGGCGAGCTTGAGCACGTCGTTGGTGCAGAGGTTCTGCAGGAACTTTCCCGCGTCGCGGCCGACCGCTTCGATCGCTGACCAGCCCTCGACACGGGCGTAGGCGTCTGGCGAAGTCATTGCCGGTTGGCTCCGTCGGTGAAACGGACATGCTGGGCCTCTTCAAGAACGGTGCAGTCCTCGAAACGGTTCACGAGCCGCTGCAATTCCTCCATGCCCGCGACGGGAGCAATGCCCAGCGGTTCGACCTCGTCGGGATCGAGCAGGCTGCGGAGAAACACCGGGCCGTTCTGCAACGCTTGCAGCACCCGCCACGCGGCGAGCGCCTCGTCGCCCGACTCGGCCGCGAGCGCCGCGGCGAGCTCGTCGGGGTCGTCGGCCTCGGCGAGCAGGGCGAGCCTTTCGCCGATCGGCTCGGCCAGCTCGCTCCAAACGGCGATGACGCCGCCCGATCGCACGAGCCGTTCCGCCGCCGATAGCGCCTTGCCAACCGAGGACCAGGTCTGCTGGTCGGCGCCGCCGCTGATGACGGCGAGCACCACGTCGGCCGGTTCGGCGAGCGGCGTCCGCCACGCCTCGCGGCTAACATCGGCGGCCGCGGCGGTCACTTGCTCGGGGTCGCCCGCCAGGACGCTGGCGACGCCGCCGCCGGGGCCGGGCACTGCGCGGAGCACCAGCGGCGCGCCGACGATCCAGCCCGCCTGGTCCGCCGCCGCACGCCGCGCCGACTGCCGTGCGCCCAGGGCGCTGGCGTCGTTCACGGTTCGCACTTTGCGGAAGCGGTCGATCGTTTCGCGGTCGAAGAAGTCCGGGAACAGCCCGTCATACGCGCCGCCCGCCTCGTCGGTCGCGGCGATGTCGCCGGTGGTCGCCTCGGCCGAGATCGGCAGCACCACATCCGCCTCGAAGACGGTGCGGTTCACCAGCAGCGGCTTGTCCCCCTTCGCCAGCCCCGCGAAGCAGAGCGTGTCGTCGCCCGACGGGTCGTGCGACTCGACCAGCACGCCCGACGCCACCTCGTGGCTCAATGCCTCTTCAAGCGGCACGGCGTCGCGCACCGAAGCGGTGACGACTTTGATGTGGCGGCGATCAATCCCGGCGGCGGCAAGCGCGGCGATCGCACCCGCCACCAACGGCCCCGCGGCCGGCAAGCCGTGGCCGACCGCGATCGCGATGCGGTCGTCGGGCGTCACGCACTGCGCAAGCGGCGGCAGTCCCAGCGGACTCTGCAGCGCGTCGATCGCCAGCTTGGCAATCGTCTCCACGCTCGGCGCCACGGCCTCACAACGCAGCCGTTCGAGCGGCAGCGTGTCGGTCATCTCAGGCGGGGCGCCGCAGCGTAACGCGGTGACGTTCACTTAAACTTTGGTCCTGTGGAATTGCGTCGTAAGCGTAAGAACCGGACGCTAAGGCGTGCCGGCTGATCCCGCCAGCAAGCTATCAGCCGCGGGGCCTTAGCCCCCGGTTCGATCACTTTAGGATGAATTGGTTTTAGGAAGGAGATAGGGGGATGTTGGTGGTAGGGGGGATCGCAAGCGGGGGGGGGTGAATTGCGCCGCGCAGCGAAACGCCTCTTGTAAGGCATGCGGTTCGTAGCGCCTCTGGAGATCGTAGAAAGCATTCGCAAAGCGACTGTCCCCAAATCTCCACCAGCACTTACGAACCACATCGCTACCAGAACACATCAAAATCTAGTTGCTCTCAACCACCCGCTTGCGATCCCCCCTATCACCAACATCCCCACCATCTCCTTTCAATCGCGAAACGCAAACACTTGGTTACAGCGCCTCGATCACCATCCGCCCAATCTCATCCGTCCCATAACCGCTGCGGTCAAGATTCTTACCAGCGAACTTGGGCGTCACCTTGCGGACCGCGGCGCCGATGCGCTCGCCCGCCTTGATCGCCGCGGCGTTGCTCTTGATGCGGCCCGTCTCACGCAGCAAGAGGCCGAGCGAGTCGATCGTGGCGATTGGGTTGGCGACGTTCTGGTTCGCAATGTCGGGCGCCGAGCCGTGCACCGGCTCGAACATGCCGGGGGCGACGCCGTCGGGGTTGAGGTTGCCGCTGCTGGCGATCCCCATGCCGCCCGCGATCGCGGCGCCGAGGTCGGTGATGATGTCGCCGAAC